GCTCACCAACATCACACCACGTATGCAATTGTATCACTCAACTGCTTCGCTCACCTGCCGAGTGACGGCGGTCACCACTGACACATGCCATTAGCGCTTGATACAACCAAGACCATAGTCAGTACACTACAGATCTCACCGTGGGTTTTTAAAGCCAAAATTCTGGCTTAAAAAATATACGATGATATGTTTTATTCAGAGACTGATGAACCCCACCGTTAATAACGTAAATATGAATAGCATTAGTACTCGCTTGTGTAGTTACAATTGCAGTCTATTGAGTTATTAGACGGCGAAAGCTCTCACGAACTGTAATTTGGTTATTTCACTACATATAGGTCGTAGTGCTGCATTAAAGATATTACAAGACTACTTCGTAAGTTGAAAATTAGATTCCGATTTGTATATTATTTTCACTAATGCAAAAAATTTAAGTGTGAGTTAAGTGCTTGTTTAAAATTTCATATTAAACTAGCGGACCCGACAGACGTTGTCCTGTCTACACGTCTTTAATTTGAAAATTTCAAACTATTTTTAATAAGCTAAAATTAAAGTTCGAATATTATTTAAAATTTGACACTGCGATGGTAGCGCCGTTTGTCGGATCCAATGTAAAACATTCCAAAATCAACAACTACTAATAAATTAAAAATTAATTAAAAAAAACATTGTCCAGCGGACAAAATTGTGAATCTAAACCATTCCCATATCCCCTTGAACACACACAAAAATTTCATCAAAATCGGTCCAGTGGTTTGAGAGAAGTTCAGTGACATACACACGCACAGAAGAATTATATATATAACGATAGACCTTTTCAAGTCGATTACAGAATTCAGAAACTAAAAGAAATCTTTGCAGAGTCCTAAACTAAAGCTTGCTAGTAATGGATAGATAAAAATATACTAATACCTTGAAAATATACAATTCTAATTTCAAAATATAATTCATTTCTCACCTGAACCAAGTACAATAGCATTACACTCATTACGAAACTGGAACACAACTGAAGTGGGGTTACACTTGTGTTCCAAACACATTTGGAGCTGTTGACAGCGAAGGGAACAAAGTGTAAAGGTCAAGAGCCCCGTCGCGTCGCCTCGAGTGGACGAGACGGAGTACTAGCGTGTTAACGGTCAACGGGAGGTTAATTGTACACAACTATCTAGTACAAGAGTTTAATGTTACTGTACTTTTATAAAAAACAAAAAACTTTTCCACTAAGTAAGTGCAACGAACGTGTGCAATGTTCGTCGGTGGGGTTTATAAGTATTTTTATATAGTATTTATAAGGTTATAACAAAAATAACTAATTATGAAATATAATTATAACCTGACGAGACGTCATGTCAGCTATCAAACACGATCTTTAGTATCTAGACATATTTCAATATTTGATATCCAACAATCTTTGCTTATCTCATTTTTAACCATTTGGTATGAATTTAACCGAGTTAAAGATCAAAACAGCAAAAGAAAAATCTGACCTACATATAAATGTTATATACAAAGTGATTAAAATAATTTTTGGATCGATCTCAAGAATTATATATCGATTGGTGATCAGATTAAATATAGGTGCATTTGAATAACTTTTGTTTGTCCGTTTGACAATTTAACAATCCTCATTTCAATGAAAGGATTAAGGCTGTTGTTCTACAATGCTGAAAGGAAATAGATTTCATTGTTTCAAATATAATCCTGGCCACAATGGATGCGGATTTAAAATGTAAATAATTTCATTTATAATATTGCTAAAAAAGTCATGATGTCATAGCACATAACGTGTCTAAAAAAACTAATGTCCAAGCATTACCTTACGTAAGTATATAACTATGAAAATAATCCTGAAAAGTGTTAAACTAATTTGTGAAATAAATGTGTTTAAATAATAAATAAATAAGTACCTATACGACTTCAACTTATAACCAACCTGTTGAAGCGTTATTCCAATAATTTTAATAAAAATATAAAAATCTATTTTTTTAATTTAAATAATTTATTACTTCTATAGTCAGTGATCTGTTAAGAACGAAAGTTTAAAATTAATTTGACCCGATTGGATATCTTCAACCCTTCTATCTAACTTCGCGCGCGGTTTCCGCTCATTGTTTGAAAGTTATATTTGAATTTTCAATTCAAACCTTTGACTTTGATTTCAAGGGGCTAGACTGTACCTGAAATTGGTTTTATTGTAGATTGAATACAGATCTTAAATTGTTTCTTTTATTACTTCTATGTCTAGTCCTAATAATCATTTTTTTTATTTCATTAATCAATTATTAATAATTATTTAATTAAAAACACTTATGATGAGATTAATTAAATTAAAGGTGAATAAATAAAGTTTACCAATAAAACATGGCTATTAATACGCAAACCGTAGCAGTGGACGTAGCTCATTGGAGCGTTACGAATGTGCTACGTCTATTCGTAGAGTTCTACGTTGAAAAAATAACCTAGTTATCGGACCGTGGTTTTGTAAACGACAAAATTAATATATAAATTTATAGCAAAACATTTGTTTAAAATATTTAAATTGCTTATTTTAGAATATAAATTTCTTCATACTATGAAATTACTTCCGAATGTTTGTTTCAAAGGTTTAATATGTTTTGTAGAACGCTTTGATATATGTTTTGGCAAATGAAAAGTTATTAAGGAAAGTTACTTAAGCCAGGTACTTATTAAATCAATTGTGGACACTAAATAACATAGGCTAAGATTATTAATACTATGTGATAATATTTACAATGTATTTATATTCTCAAGGTTCAACTAGAAATGTTTATCAAATAATAGTAAATTAATATATTCTATTCACGAAAAGCACCTTGAGAAATTGTAAATAAAAGCCATTACTTGGACCAGTCCTTCACCGCTAAATTTGATTATATTTTCAACATAAAATTTATACAAAACCCTCACTTGAATATTACTTGTCAAATATTTTACGACTTTCAAATGTTTTCTTATGTAAGATAAATAAATATAAAACATCTTTATTTATTTATTGTTACATCTGTAAATAACGCTGTAATACTGTAACCTATATTTTTTATAAGCTCAATATAACCGTCTAAATACCGCAAGATCTTGGAATTCTTCCAAAGGATCGCAAAATTTTGTAGCACTCAGTATCAAATAACGAGTAGAAAACTGAATGAAAATGCAGCATTTCAAATGAAAGTTTCAAGTAACATTTTATTATACGAGAAATGTTCTTAGAATTTTTAATCAATTTTCGGTTTTAATATTAAATAATATACAACATGTTTCACCGTGTATCTTTTAAATATTCCTGGTAGACTTGGAGTCTTGAAAAATATATTCACATCCTTTTCTTATTTATTGAAAAAATAGAGATAACAATATGTCTTATATGTACTAGTTTCGATACTGGAAACTTACTGTTTAACAAATGTTCGGTAGTCGGATATTATTGGTCAATTAATTCAATCTAGCTACTGTGTCTTTTATTTAAAATCCCTGGAATACGGAGTTAAATTTAATTCGTGCAAGTAAAAAAACAAGTGCCTCATTTACAATGCATATTCTAGGAAAGCTTACGTTGTGGTTTCAGCTTTACTATTTGAATATTTTATTTAAAACGTTCTTTATGTTGCTTATGTACATAATGTAATAAATATTTTAACTTCTGTCTATCACGCTATGACCTCTAAGTACAACTGCTAAAGTTTTTTTTGCTATTCATTTATCACTTTATATCTGTATTCAATGTGGGTCGGGTAAACTTCTACCTCATGTACAAAGTAATATTGCAATTGTGTATGTTTACGGCAGCAGTCCCTTCGCCATTTCGGCGAATTTACGTGGCTACTTGTTAGTTTACCATCTTATAATATCTATCTTTCGCCTGAGATTCCGTCCGCGCGGGAATAAAAAACTTAATTAGTAGCGTATGCGTTTTTACAGACTATCGTTCGTTAATCGACTAACGATCTACATCTATGTCGAATTTCAGCGAGATCCATGTAGCCGTTTTGGGGATACCTTGAAACTTCCATCTATCCATAAATCCAAATATTCGCTTTTATAATATTTGTGAGATATAAAAAAGGAGCTCCTTATGAGTATCACATTACGATAATACACTTATAAGTGAGGCGTGTCATAGTATATTTAATGTTACGAGCTTTAACAAACGCTAAGAATCAAATTGGTTTACAATGTTGAAACGATATTAATTACGAGGAAGTAACAGTGACACTTGCTATTGGACTCTGATATTCACGTTACGTAACGTGCCCGAGTTATGCAAGAAAATGGACGCGTTACACGCAGCTTCAGTATTGTATTGCTAAAATGTTTCACAAATCGTTTAAATATCATTTGTCATTTTTCTAACGACCGTAATTAAAAATCGGAGTACTTTTACGTGTTTTGACGATCTAAAATGCTTTTAGATTTAAACATGCAAATATTTAAATATGATTTGAATTAAATTAAAATTGTTCCAAAATCTTTTTATTGACAGATAAAATTATATAGAGTTCTTTTACTTAAGCATAATACAAAAGGAAGAAAGCTTAAGAAAAATAACAATTTTGTACGAAATTAAAAAAAAATTACCCTTATTTTATTAGTACGTTTTGCATACAACCTGTCTAGTTTCAGTTTATTTTTGTTCCTTAATTAGGTTAATTTGTAATTAAGAATTTAATTCTTTATATATACCTTACATTTAATATAAAAATTATGTTATAAAAAAGCTCCAATAAATTAAAAATTCTAAAGTAACTTGTACAATGCTTCTATGAGAATTAGTACAAAATTATGTCAGTCTAAAAATACGAACGTGGGTTTTTGTTTAAATAATATGTAGTCATAATATGACCAAAGCATCCCCTGAAGAGTTGTCGATGTCCTAAAGGCATGCGATCCGTAGGACCTCAGTCCGCCGTGTTCCGTGCTTTCGTACTGACGTCTAATGCGCAATTGTGGACCGGATTACAAAGAGTGTGTGAATTTATAAAGTTTTACGTATCTTTTATTGTGTTTCAATTTGTTATAACATTAGAGTGTATCAAAGTTTGAAATTGTTTAGATTTTTTTTTGTTTCGGTGGATATTTGTGTTGTGACTTTTATTTGGGATTTAATCAGAAGTTTGGATTGATTAGGTAAATATGTAATTTAAAACCGTAATGTATTATTAAAATATACATAATTTTTATGAAAGTAGCGTATATTTATTACAGGAATGATGTTACAAATTAATAATTAACCGATCAGAAAAGCATTTAACCGACGTTTGGCCGATAAAAATATCTATGAAAGTATTTAATTCCAAAAGAAAAGGAATCAATAAATAATTAAACTTATTTCTCAAAAGCCGCAATCCTCAATCCCACTGGTGTTTAGGATATCTACAGTTTGAAGTTGCATCTGGTTGAATAAAGAAAAACTTAACTGGTTTTTTTTTAATTTTAATGATCCACTTTTTCTATCCTATTTTATTATTCAGTATTTAATAGTATTAACTTTAGACAATGAAGTATTTTAAACCATGACATACGCATTGAAAACTAAGGGAATCTTTTAACTGGTAGTTGTTTTAATAGAAATCTTGCATAGTCTAATCTAACATACTACTGTTTAAAGACAATTTTGTCTAATAGTTAGGATACATAAGATTTTGTTACCAGTTTTAGAACCAATATTAAATTCATTCTATTATAGTATGCACTGAGTGTTCTAATGTCTGTCACAAGATGATAAAGTCGAGAATTGCCTGTCACAAAAATCCTTATTCAAACAAAAAAGGAAATGGAAAACATGTTTTTGAAGAATCAGATTGGCTAGGCATTCCAAAAAAAATTATGTACACGTTTGGTACTCGTTATACGCCGGGTGGGGTCAGTAGGCAACAAATGCCCAACTTTTTTCCATTTATACATATTACATATTTCGTCACCAAGTTTAAAAGTTCATTGACTTGTTAGTCATTTGTCAAACGATGACTACAAAGGAGATCGATAGATCATAGACCGATAAATTTATCTGACCCGGTGGACAATGTTCGCTCCCCTGTTAATGTCATAAAATACCACAAGAACGTTTTCGATCTGTAGCTGTATTTAAATATTGTATTGTATGACATTTTCAATGGTTAAGGAGGTTTTACATATTTCTGAAAGAACTAACCGCGATAGCAGCGCCTCTTTTACCGGGCCAGATAAGCTCGTTGGACTATATCTGCTTTATCAACTGACAAGTAACTGTTCGTCGAATAACCCGCCTGCTATTTGTGGCAGTTGATAACGTATTGATTAGAGTTAAGCTCGGTTGCTGTAAACAGGAAAAACTTTCATGACCAAATGATAATTACTGACGTAGAGGCTACAGCGAATTAATTATGCAAAAGTAGGCGGTGTTGGCAAGGGACACGCATACAGACTTTTATCGACCTGACCTGTGACACAAAGTACATAGGTGACATAAAACGTCATGTTGAGAATTTGAAAATGACAGAATGTACAAGTCCAGTGATTAAGTACACATTTTCTTTAAAATGCTACTCGATTGTCAATTATACAAATCGTCAGTTCGTATAACGAATTTGTAATTCAAATACGAATAGAATTTTTAATACTTCTCGAACTAATTACCAACTTTCGTATTTTATTTAAATGTTACAAATTGAATACAACATCTGGTAGAAAGTTATTAATTCTACGGAGAAATATATTTCGTAACAGACTACATTAAGCATATATATACGGTTTATAAATGTATTTAAAATTAAACAGATATATAATATATACCACGAGTAAGATTGCAACTTTTCGACGATTTCCATCCTCTACGCACCATTTTCTTTAACTGAAGTAAACTATTGCTATTTTTGCTAAGATACAGTAAATTATTTTTAAAGATTCTACTAGATTAAAGTCAAGGTTTATGAATATATTTAATCTATTATCTAAAGCTTTATGGAAGTATAAATAAGAGATAATCTTATATCTTTAAAAGAGCAAAATAAAAGGCCATAGTCATCCACGCTGGCCAAGTGCGGGTTGGTTGACTTCACGCATATCTTTGAATTTATTCTTTGATATGTGCAGGTTGCATCACAATGTTTTCCTTCACCGTAAAAACGTCGGATAAATGTAAATCGGAAATCGAAAAACACATCGGTACATGGTGGGATTCAAACCCAGGACCTGCAGATAGCAAGTCAAGTGCTTGACCCCTGAGCCACCGACGCTCCTATAATATAATAATAAGATAAAGCCCAAATATTTTGAGGGACTCTGTAATCCTAAATGAACCTACGATCTTTTTGTTTTTTTTTGACAAAAATAAGTGGGATAAAAGTACGTTTGTATTATGCGTAGTATTTTTAAAACAAAATCGTAAATTGAATACGAAAAGAATATTGAAGACAAATGGCTTAAATAGAACACCTATGACCTACATTGTGGGAGACAGACCAACTGCTACTGAAACTTTTTAAGGGGTTGGGGGAGCTGAAATTGAACACCCTCCGAGCTTTTAAATTTTATATACACGTATCATAGTAATACCAATATTATATACTGATAATAAAAACATGTAGAAACTTTTATAGAATTTACATTCAAAGATTGGATGACTAGGAACCAAAGTGGTACAGGATGATGCAAAAATTGTTAAACTAATAAAGTTAAGTTGAAACAAATAAGGCTGTAGATGCATAAATAAGGTCTAGATTGAGTTTATGAAAGAACCTTAATTAGTAATGATAAGCAAATATAGAAGTAGAAGTCAAGACAAAGGAGTTCGGGGTCTGTGGCAAATATTAATTTGTAATCTCTGAGACCAAAATCTCTGTACAAAACATATCGTCATCCCTGTCAGATTATTTGACAAAACTGAGATAGCAATATGATTTAAACGCAGATTTGGGTCTCAGAAATCTGCAGATTTAGGTTTTATTTCTTACTTGGCTAGCTAGGCTAGGAAAAGCTTATAATTTTTGGAAATTTATAAACTCTACCTCTGTACTAGAGTCATTTTAGATCAGATTAATAGATTGAATTTTACGAATTAATATTAAACCTTATGAAATTATATTAATTACTATCCCAGTTGTGTATTTCGAAACAATATTAACAGGCGTCGTGCTCATGTAATGAAGCCTTCGGTTTTGGCGTTGGTCGCGTTGTTGACTGAAGTTTCTATTAACGTTTCTATGCAATATTATTACTAAATACAAGCCTAACATTGAAGGTAGGCAGAACTATGAAAGTGTTCTTAAAAAATGTTATAAACCTTTTAGAATTATTTGGATCAATTACGTAATCTCCGCCATTTCCTTCTCTTTTCTCTTGTGAACTATCACTCACATACGTTCGATACTTTGTATTTTATTCGTTTGTATCATCATCATATTGTGGACTAGTGAGATTATAAACTGACGATGCTGCGATCTGACGGTTACGCGCTGTCATTTTTGGTAAAACGTAAAATTTATTTTTTATATAAATGTTAATATTTGGATGGATGGATGGATGTTTGTTTGAATGAAATCTCCAGAACGACTGAATGGATCTCGCTGAAACGTAGCAGATATAGAACATAATCTAGAAGAACACATTGGCTACTAATCAAGTTTTTTTTTAATACCACTCGGACGGAGTCGCAGGCGACTGCTAGTCTTGGATAAATGTTTTCACTAACAACTCTATATTTACTCAACATTTTCTCTCAGAGATATAATTAAAAGCAAACCAGTGTCTGCAAATAAACACAGAATGTTAATGTGAAATTCTTGTCCTCGAAAAGTTAACTAACTTTTTTTTAAGAAAATAAAAATACAAATTAAATTTTTGTGTATTCTTTTAAGCCAACCTTTGTAATATAAATCCAAATGTTTAGATGCATGGATGGATGTTTGCTAGAAGTAATATCCAGAACGGCTGCATGAATCTCAGTATAATTTGGCATAGATGTAGAACATTTATTAATTTGACACTATACACACTTTACATAATAGTTTACACGATAACATATTTTATAATAACAGTAAATAACACATAACAATGATAAATAAAAAGAAAAAAATACATAGATAAACAGTGCAAGAATATATCAACGCGTAACTAAACATCAATATTCAAACGTCTTCCACAGCCTCTGTAACATAGTCTGGAATAACACATAGACTACTAAGTTTTATTAATACCTCGCGGACGGTGTCGCGAGCGATAGGCGATCACGTAATATAGAGTATATGACTTGCTTTTACAAAAATAAAGTTTCAAAGTTGACAAGATGTATTCTTCAGATTTATGTATTTAAATAAACGTTTCAATGTCATTAACTTTGCTTATTACTTATAATATGGTTTCTATATGCGTTTGATAAATGCAAGTGTTTACACACCGATGACCTTGTTCTGTCACTGCACTTAACCTGACAAAGCTCTTATCAGCGCGTTATCAGATGTCATAAAAAGCTCTCATTCACTTAGTTAATGAAATAATATTATCGCGGTATACATTTTTATCTTCCTCAATATATATGTTGATACTTCGACAAGATTAGATTGAACAAAAACAAAATATGCTTACTACAAAAACTATGCATTTTTATCTCCTTGTTTGGTTCTCACTTAATATGGGTCCGGTACAGGACATAGGTTTTTTAAAAATTTCGTATTGTACATAATAATGCACTTAATTAATGTTTATTTATTCGTGCACTAGATGGAGTTGTTTATAGGCCAGCATCACTGACCTCTATACATGGACAGGCTATAAACCTTGGTATTTTGTGCCTTTTTGATCGTCGACATTTTGACTATTGCGGTTGATATGTGAGGATATAAATTAATAATAGAAACAAAACTAAGGAACAGTGTCAGGAAAGTCTCTGCCAGGAACTTCAACTAGTAAGTTCAAATGAGAACAAAGCTGTCATTTCCAAGCAATGGTCTCGCCATTTATAGTGATTAGTGCAGCATAGAAAAAAAATTATGACAGAATTTTATATAAAAGCCAAAAACACAAAAAAAATAACTGAACATTGTTGCATATTTTTTCAAGCTATTTAGTAAAGAAATACTCTTTAGTAAAAAAGATACGAAGTATTATCGTAGGTTTTTTTTATCTAAAGCCGCACAAGAGAATTTCGGTAC